GTCCAATTGCTTGGGATGTGGTGGGAATCCAATTTCAAAATGCTTCAAGGAGGAACTAGCATGGTGTCTTTCGTGGAGATCAAAATTAATAGGACGCTTTGGGTCCACATCACTATGATATGGCTTCATCTTTACCAGAATATAGACACTGCGGTTTTATTAAAGATTGGTTTAGCAGCTGGATTTTATATCTCTTACAATAAAGTTCACATCTACATTTTCTCACGCTCTCCAAACCTCACTTTATAGCCAGTGATAAGCTAACATAAAACATTGTCTATGGTCGCTGTTTGACAACGTTTCTTTCACGCCATTCCCCAGTGTTTGCATTTCCACACCAGAAGTGGAGAGCAGTTTTTCATATCTCCCTTCCAAAATGGATTACAGGATAAAACTTACCAGGAACGGTTAAATGATCTTAACATGTATAGCTTGGAGGAAAGACGAGACAGGGGGGATATGATAGAAACATTTAAATACATAAAGAGAATCAACACACAATGCAAAATAGGAGAAAACCAGATACACTGTTTCAAATTTCAATACATGAGATCATTTGGGATAAGGTATACAGAGTACTTACTTTATCTTTGTGCCATGGTATATTTATGCTGGAGCTATCTGATGTGATACCATTATAAATAAATAGATGCCAGGGTAAACAAATCTGCCTTTTCTTTAAAAAAAAATAAAATGTTTTTTTAAAGATTATGATGGTTGTAATTTGACCTCCCAATGCATGTAGATCACATTTGTACTAAGGTCTTAATTAATAAATATATTATGCAATCCTGATAAAGGGCTTCATTCATCAAAAAAAACACCTAATTAAGTGAATTTAATATAAACCAAATTGCAATATATATAATAAGCCAAAACATTTAGGCTGAAATAGCACAACCGTGACTGTAGCTGAATGTGGAAAATTTTAGTAAACCCACTATTTTGATAAAAAATTTGCAGTTTGGGTTTCAATTCAATGCAAATCGATGTTAAGTAAATAAACCCCCGGTGTTCTTGTTGTGAATCTATGCCAGGCTTCCCCAAACTCTGGCCCTCCAGATGTTGCTGAACTACAACTCCCATGATTCTCAGCCTATCTATTTCATTCATAGAATCATGGGAGTTGTAGTTCAGCAACATCTGGAGGGCCAGAGTTTGGGGAAGCCTGATCTATGCTGCAGCTATTCAAAATGTTATTCTTTTGCTCTAAGAAAACCCCCATAAAATAAACAATCCAATGTTTGTGTTAAGCGATATAAGTTAGTGCACGGGAGATTTTTGCTGACAGAGGCACTTTAAAGGTTCACAGATTGTGAACAGATGTTGTGAACACACAGGAGTTTGTTTAATAGTTGATGCATCAGGAATTGTATTGATTTATTATTGGTAGTTGCATTTAAAATCATGAACATGATTTATTTTGTAGAGCTGATAAAATTGGTGGATGAGACATACAAGGAAATTGAAAACATACGTTTAATTTACATTAACGCGGGGTAGTGAGGGGTCCTGTTCAAAGGAGCTTACAATATAAAGGAAGTGGGATAAAATTATACTGGCAAAAGAATTGCAAATTTTGGACCAAAATAAACAAGTTGAAGGTTTTTATTCCCCTTTTCGGCAGCTTTATCCAAATATTCGCGGTTACTTTTATGTTTTTTAACAGTTCAAGGCTTAGTAAATAACTGCCATGGAGATGTAACCAATGGTGATTTTTTTATAACACCAAGTTCTTTGAAGGGTTACACCAAGCACCAAAACCACTTCAGTGATTTAAAGTGATCATGGTGCCTGGAGTCTACGTGTGCAACTTTTCACTGTAAAAAAATGCACATACAGACCTTACATTGGGGTGTCATTAGCCAGCCCGGAATTAGAGTTCCGTGCTGGCTAATATCAATTCTGGACATATTTCTATGCATTGATGCTCATTCAATGGATGAGAGCAGTCATCTGACGCTCTCGGACAATGTATGAGTGGAAGGATCAGCATCTACAGCCTTGTAGAAGCCAGATGTTGTAAACCTTCTTCACAGGTGACCAGGGAACCTGGTGGGACTTAGATAAGGGGACAAACCAGTTTGCCCCACTACCAGGAAACGGGTCCAGGGTACTCGTCACATCATAGCCGCTACAGCAGGGTGTAGTCATTATAAAAATTTAAGTAACACTTTAATAATATGTTTTTAATAGTACCTAAAAAGCCTTTTTGAAACTGTACCTTGGAACATTAGTTTTGTCAAGCATTGTATAAATTCCACGTAGACTTGGTTTATTAATCGTACATGTTCTGTTTGAAAACAATCACCTGCCAGGCGCTGATCTTTTGCGCTGAGGTTAAACCAGCTTTCTAACAGCTGCATAACAGGTTTCAGTGATCAGTCGAAGGACTGCTTCCGATGTATTGCTGTTTCTCCAATTGTTCTGGCTCAATGTTGCAGCAACGCTCTGGATCACACCCATCCATGTCTGAAGGTTTATAAAGCGATGGGCCGTGACGACTTACAGCCCTTCAATGTATTTATGTTCAGGAATGGGAGGGTCAGGGCTATTGACATACAGCAGTATCCTGCTGCCTATTATTTCCTGAAAGTCTTGGCATTTTCCCAAATCCTAAGCTTGACAGGTGGATGAGGTTTCACAAGGAAATAATGTCATGAATTAATTTTCCAGGAAAATGACTCGCTGCTTTCACTAGTTAGGGCCTTTAACACTGGCAAGGTACCGTCCAGTGATGGCTAACCTTTGGCACTCCAGCTACTGTGGACCACATTTCCCATGACGTTCGGTCCGCTGAATGTTTTAAAGGCAATTTCCTCAGCAATCCCCTAACTGTGAGACACTCCAACCGGGGACTAGTGACTATCTTGCAAGCCCTACAGCACTAGATGGACAAGATCGACATGTTAAATCAGACTTCCATAGCCTAGAATAAAATGTGTTCTTTGTATACCTCTTCTTCCTTAACAGAAGATCTGAAAGCTGATAATTTAAATTTTATTTGGAAACACTTAAAATTTCCGGGTGGAAATTTAAACGAAAGATGGACACTTAAACAAAAAATAAATACTTTTGCTGTATAAAATAATATCCAGCTGGGAAGTAAAATTTTGGAAGAACCAGTCAAAATAGTGTGATCTTGTTGCCTGCCTGGCATTTCACAATCTAGTATTACTTTGTTGGCAATAGAACTTTGATCTTTACAGAGACCATGGCATGCTCTACCAGTGTCATAAACTCAAACAGTCCCAGATTTGGCGGGGCAGTCCAGACTTTGGGCTCCTGTTCAGTCGTACCAGGTTAGTGTTTAGCTTCTTTGGACATACCAGCTATGTCCCTAGCAAAAGCACTTCATTAGAAGAATAGAAAAACACGCATTGTGTGAAATGAACTCAGGCCATACAAGAGGACTTCAGAAACGCTCTGACCATGTAAAGCCATGAGAAGAATTGGCTAACTCAGTCAGTAGAATTTTTTTTTTTAATTTTCTCTAACTATTTAACTCAGTGTAGTTTACTTGAGCTTTGAATCATGATCTGGTCAAAATAATATAGGCTAAGCAGACCTCTAAATGCAGGAATAGGTTACATAATCAGGACCTAGCCATTGTCAGAATTCCAAAAATCTGAATAAATATGCAAAGTAGCCGTGATATCATGCACACCTGTATTACTGGATCATAAAAGTAAAAAAACGTTTGGATACAAGGGGCAGAAACTAACTAATACATACTATTAATATAATATTAATAAAAACTAATATATATATATATATAACGTATACACTGGGGTAATAGCATTATCTTTTATAAGCTGTTCTATCAGGTCATATTATTGAGTTAAACAGGCTGGTTTATTAAATTAGTTTGGACTGGGCCAGCCAGGTCATTCACTTGAGCAATACTGTGCATGTCAGGTTGTTAGATTGTGTTGGACTGGGATGGCCTGATCAGTAGATTGAGTTGGCCTGGGCCAGTCAGCTCATTAGATGGCGTTAGAATGGGTTTGGCAGGTCAAGATTTAGACTGGGTTGAGCAGGTGGTTAGATTGAGATAGACTATGAAGATCATTGGATTTAGTTGGACTCGTATGGCCAGGTCCTTAGATTGAGTTAGACATGAATGGCCTGATCAGTAGATTGAGTTGGCCTGGGCCAGCCAGCTCATAACATGGCATTAGACTGGGTTTTGCAGGAGGTCATGAGGTAGACTGGATTGAGCAGGTTGTTAGATTGAGATAGACTGGGAAGATCATTGGATTTTGTTAGACTGGTATTGTCAGGTCCTTAGATTGAGTTAGACATGTATGGCCTGATCGGTAGATTGAATGAGACTTGGCTGAACCACTTTTTAAATTATGTTAGAATAATCTGGACATGTCAATAGGCTGGGATGGCCAGGTCACCAGATAGTGCTAGACTAGGTTAAGAAACTCAACAGATTAAACTAGACTGGGCTAGGCAAGTCATTAGATTGTGTTGAGCTAGTATTCTCAGACTTTTTACTAGTACATTGCATACGCACTGAGAGACATTTGGGCTTCTCTCTTGCCTGATGTTAACAGGAATATATGTATGACCTTTGTGGCATGTGCTTGTTAAGATTGTGGCATCAGTGTAGAATGCAACGTTTGGGGACATTGTGTATTGTGTCATATTTATAAGTACAGGATAAGGCCACAGTTTGGTAGCTAGTTGCTATCAACGGTACAACAAGAATGCTTTCAGGTTTTGGGAATGAAAGCAAAATTATTTTGTCTTTTCCTTATTAAAGGGACACTCTGGAAAGGAACTTGCCCCCTTTGCTGGCGCAAAAAATATAAAAACAAAAAATGAAGCTATCAGTTACATTTTGTGAAGCTGCTTTTAATAACAAAAATGATCAAATAACTTTGTTGATTAATATTCGTAACAGGAAACAAGGACCATTTGGCTTTACATATTTTATTCCCTAACCATGCGTTCTACAAAGCCGGGGATCTGCAATCTGCTCTGCACTGCTCCTTCTCTGTCTGCGAGCATTTTTTCTTTGTTTAGCCTTTGTTTTTACAGCACACACATTCCCCGTACAGAATAATTGGTTTTGCTTAAGTGCTGGTTCCTTATTAATCACAATAGCTGGGAATCATGCTGGCAAAGCCTCAGGAAGGGAGAAACAGACTATTGTGAAATTCCTAAAAACTCCCACCGAAGCTTTGCAAACTCAAAAGGGCCACTCTGCGCTCTGGGTGCCCTTTTTACATCAGCAGGAAGACATTCCCAACTCAAATGCATCATTAGACTTTTCCGCTGCAACGTGCAATCCAATACAACAGCACTTTTTATACCAGTGAACCAGAGAGCAGAAAGTGACGCATTTATTAATGTATATAGAGTCTGTCAGTTCCACTTGCTGACAAGGCTTTTATAGTGAATCCTGGGCATGGGATGCACAAAGAGTTAATTAGATCTAGACATTTAGGAGAGAGAATTCTGTTTCACATTTGTTGACAAGATTGCTGATATTTACGATTCATTAATAAAGAATGAAAGTGGGGGATGTTCTAATAACCAGGCAAAGCTGTGCTAATTAATTAATATGGGAGGTATGACATCAGAGGAGGAAGTACCTTTGCATACCCCTTTTACCATTTCTAGACTTGCCCTTTAGAAGTCCACACTTTATGGTGAGAAGGCAATAACTGTGAACTAATCTGCAAATGACTAAAGGACAAATTGGGAGAGTGACCCTCATTTTTAATTTAAAAAAAGAGAACCAAAACTGCAATATAATTTTAATTACAACAAAATATGCACACAAAAAAAGCACAGGGAGCTACTTAACATTCTGAGTTATCCTTAAAGGAACACTATAGGATCAGGAAAGCAAACATGTATTCCTGACCATATAGTGTTAAAACCACCATCTAGCCCCAATGGCCTCCCCTTGCCCCTTAAATATAATAAAATATTACTTGTATTCAAGGCTGCAGCTGCTGCCTCTACCCCTGAACAGCCTGCTGTCAGTTGACATCATCAGAAGTTGTAGCCTGATCCAATCACAATGCTTCCCCATAGGATTGGATCAGACTGTCAAGGAGGCAGAACAGGGGCAGCGCCAGCACAAGTCAAACACAACCCTGGCCAATCAGCATCTCCTCATAGAGATTAATTGAATCAGTGCATCTCTACGAGGAAAGTTCAGTGTCTGCATGCAGAGGGTGGAGACACTGAATGGCAGTACTGCACAGTGTGCAGCACTGTCCTAGGAAGCATATCTAGTAGCCATCTGAGGAGTAGCCAGTGGAGGTATCTGTAGGCTGTAATGTAAACTGCATTTTCTCTGAAAAGACAGTGTTTACTGCAAAAAGCCTGAAGGGAAAGATTCTACTCACCAGAACAAATTCAATGAGCTGAAGCTGTTCTGATGACCATATTGTCCCTTTAAAGAGTCATCAGAAAGTCTAGCTATAAGGTAAAGTAACATTTTCCTTATGTTACCAGCATTACAATGTAACACATAGCACCAAAAAGAAAGTTGCACATTTTTAAAAGAACACTATAAGATCAGGAATACATGTTAAAAATTATACCATCTAGCTCCCCCCTTACCCGACTTCCCCCTTACCAGACTGAAAATAGTAAAATATTACCTTTATTCCAGCCTGCTGCTGCTGCTGGCTCTGCCCCTGACCTGCCTACTTTGCTGACATCTTCAGAAGTAGTGATCTCAGCCAATCACAATGCTTTCCAATAAAAAAGCTTTGGATTGGCTGAGATTGGCAATTCCGATGATGTCAGAATCCCTCCTCCTTCTGTGCAGGGGAAGGGATGTTTCAGGGGAAGGAATGTTTAGGAGGACAGGCTGCGGGGAGGACTTGGCCGTTACAGGTGCTAAAGACAAGATGCCATTGGTTGTCTGTTGTCAGTATGCTAACAACAGATGCCCAATATGCACAGATTTGACATTAGCCAGTCCAGGAATTTTGTTCTCAGATGGTTTATGTGTGTAGTTACACAATGTGCATTATCTTTGTATGTGCCATATTTAATTATTTTCATTTGTGATTCTCAATTTTTTTTCCCTTTTGAGTTTCCTACACCAAAAATCCAGCTCTCACATTAGCTATTAACAGACAGTGCGGAGGCCACGAGCTAGAACAGTAGTTATTCTGCGTTCAAAATTTTAAGTGGCCACATCTCCGTCTACCCAATTGCCCAAGGCAATCAACTTTTTGGACTGCAGTCAGCCATTTGGGGACCCCTGCATTATAAGTTTCCTAAATAAGGTAATATTTAGGAATTCTAAATGGGCACTCTAAGCACCATCAACACTACAGGTCACTATAGTGTCAAACTGTTTATTTTTAGGCTTACCTTGAGTATCCAAAAACTAATTTGCTCCAAGAACGTGCAAGAGGTTGTATTCTTTCTGTTGGGACGTATTCCATTTGTGGAGGATGTATAAAGTGTGCTGAGAAGGTATTCTGAGTGAGGGTTAGGTATTTTGTTTGTGTTTGTGAGATATTATGTGTGTAGGGGAGGTATTATTATGCTTTTGAGTGTTATTTTGTGTGTGTAAGTATTCTTAAATGTGTACCTGAACCTCTCTTATATCACACATATACGCGACCAAGTAAGCTCTATTTAAGTATTGCAGGGACAATATTACCAGAAGATAATTTTGCTAACAGTAGCATGCGTGTCGAGTACAGAGAAATATGAAGCTAATTAATTGGAGCTCACACTGTGACTTTGAACGGATGAATCTGACTTTACTGTTTATACTTACATCAAGGTAACCCAGCTCTATTATTCATTGGATGAAATGATAGTTGCCAAAATTGCTCGTACTTGTCTCCTTTTGTCTCCCAAAACATTCTGGGTATTGGTAGCTTAACGAAGAAAGGAAATGCGTTATAGAACGCTACTATTATCCTAATCTTGAGCTATATTACCCAGCATTCCTTTCATACAGCCATCTTAACTAGTTCTTGGGTAAACGGGTTAAAAAAAAAAAGGATTGAATGTGAAGAGGTTAAACTCACATCCAAGTGATAACTGCCAGGAAAGAAAGACACAGAAGGCAGATATGCTATTCTCTCTACTTATTCATCCTTATTCAGCTGCTGCAACACCCCCAAATTACCATAAACCCCTTAATGAGCCCAAACACAATCTCTGATTCCTGCACCAGTCAGGCTGTAGCAGGGATTCCTCTTTCCATTGTATTTCATGGTATGGCTGTTCCTGCAAACCCTTAGCAGAGTGTTGAGAATACCTGAAAGGGTTAACGGTCGCTCACGTACAGGCGTTATGTTGTAAGAGAACACCCTAATATTATTAATGACCTTAGCGAAGTGATTGACATAGGATAGGAGTGTCAGGTGTTGTTAGTGACGCAACAAGCTCTCCCAGTAACAGGAAAGCTTCCTGTCATGGACGAACTCGAGCCGGGAATGTGACAAAATGTGTTCTCGACGTCCCTCTGATGCAAGAGATTTTATTATAGTGATTGGTAACAGGAGTGTAGCAAAGCAAACAGAGGCTTTAAATACAGCCCCCATCCCCCTTCATCCCCTCACATGTATACCTAGCTCTATTTAAAATCCCACACAGGAAGTCGCTCAATTGGAAGGCCTCAGAGTCTTGTCACCCTCCGTCCATTCTGCAATTGCATTCAGCCTGTGGAGCAAAAAGTATTATAAGAGTGTATAGAGGAGGAAGGTGAAAATTAAACAGCTACTCTAACCAAAAATATATTTTTTTATTAAAACACTGTTTATGGTCAGAGTAATCCTCACTGACAGAACACATTTAGAAAACTTTACGTTCCAAGTTCTCCTGGCTGCCCAGTCCAGTGATGTCATTTCCAAATACCATAGGGGTTGGAATTTCAAGGAAGACAGGCTGAGAGGAGGACTTGGGCGGCAGAGAGAGGGGGCAATGCTGTGCGTGCTGACAACAAGCATCCAATATGCACAGAATTGACATTAGCCAACCCTGAACTCTTGTTCAAAACTGGCTAGTGATGCTATCTGAGGTGAAGTTCAAATCACTGAAGTGGTTATGGCGCTCGAGGTAACCCTTTAAGTAAGGAATCATATAATTCTATTGGGTGGCTGAAGAAAAATGTCCAACAATGAAATTAACAGCAACCGTGCTCTTCGTTTAACATCATTCACTAAACTCGGAATTGTAGACATTTCACAACGGAATTTCAGGATCTAGATGAAAGTGCCCAAAGTGGAGAATTTCTCCAATTAAGATATGTTTCCAGATCAGCAGTTTTGCATAAAAATTTACAATCCCCTTGTCAATTCTCCACAATTGCCAGTTTTGGATATAACCTCGATAAAATGGTGTAATGTGTAGTGAGAACGTCTGAGAACTGAAAACGATGTACTGTAATCATATCATTCAGCAAAAAGAATCTATCTATGTGCATATACAATCAATTCACATGAATTGATTTTGTATACAAATTATCCTAGTGTGAGTATTAACAGAACTTCGAGATATATTTATGCAATGTATGTTTCCTGTGTGTATTGTGTATTTATTGATCTGCTGTTCTGCTGTGTAATTCTGTGGTTACTGTTTATGGTTTTTATATTGTGTTATAACGACATGTTTTATTCATTTGATGTGCTCCTGTGTTCAGTAAACTATTGGCTGACTTAATTTCTAACATTGCGTTATTCAATAAATAACTGAACTTTTAAGGATATTTTTTTCTTTCTGTGACTTTTTTGCTGTGAACTGGGCATGCAGTGACGCAGTGATCTGCTGTGTCGATGAGGATGATACAAGAAAAAAAATCCCATTAGGAAATTTTAAGTACAGTTATTTTCAATTCAAATTGTGTTTTAAATATTTTTAATATTAAACCTTATTTCTGTAATGCATTATTTTCAAGGTCCTGTTTATTCCAAATTTTCCTTTTATTTCAAGTTTCTTCTTTCCATATTTAAGCGCTATACCAGCCCATCGCCGTCTCCATTTTATCACATCTGTCTTCATCCTTTACCTATAACACACACTACCCGAGCAGCCACTTACTCCCGCTCACCACACCTCCTATAACACACACTACCTGAGCAGCGCTCTCACTGCAGCTCTCCACACCTCCTATAGCCCACACTACCTGAGCAGCACGCTCACTGCAGCTCCCACACCTCCTATAGTCCACACTACCTGAGCAGCGCTCTCACTGCAGCTCTCCACACCT